ATGTAAACAAAGAAGTGGACAAACTAACTAATGAGACAAAGACGATATGAGCAATGAGCACAAACATAAATGAACGTCAAAGCACACACAAACACAATCAAATGATCACGGAGTTCGGACCTTCCGTCCTACGTCTCCTCTCCCCACTCCCGAGGAGAAATCCACTATCACAACCGGATTTTTTACGTTTACCCGAATAACGTTTACACCTCACACTCGGTTTTCTAGTTTATCGAAAACTCTATAATCAACACTCTTGCAATCCCACTCTACACCCTCTCAAGTGTTGGAACTAGACGTATCTCCCTCAAGTGCTCGGATACAACCTCTCCCTAGGTTCGTCAACCAACGCCACTCCTCTTGGGATGATCCCCGACTCTCGCCACACACTTCTCTCGGTGTACAAATGTATTACAAAGTGATTCTCACAATAAGCACAATACAAAGTATTTGTTCTCTACAATGGATGAGAACGAATTATAAGCTCACTCTCTAAGTTACACAATCCCACAACCCAATTATACTATGAATGTAAATACAATAAGCTCAATGGTTGTGTATGTGTAAACAAAGAGAAAATAAAATCAACTAAACTCAATATGAACACTAGCTTAATAAAATGATAATCAAACAATATAAAATATAAAGGTAGATTGAGTTTAGAAAACTTCTCAATAGATCAATAGTGGAAGGAGAAGAGTTGGATGCTCAAACACCAATAGATGATCTCCTCAAGCTCTTGCGAAATTGATTTCGCAAACTCAAACTTCCAAATGCTTAAAAGCTTCTTAAACAAACTTAAACCAAACTTAAACCCTTGTTTAAAACTCTTTAAACTTATTTTAAAAACACTCTCTTTAGTAGTAAAAAATAGTTATGGTAAAGGGGTATATATAGGGTAGAAGAAAATAATCCCAAAATCCCCCAAAAACCCACTAAAAAACAAAAATCAACAAGTTATCGTTACTGTGCAACGGTAACATCGGCGGTCGACCGTGGTGGTCGATCGCAAGAAAAAAAACTACAAAACTGATCTCTGAACTGTTGACGGGGCGGTCGACCGTGGTGGTCGATCGCAAGAAAAAAAACTACAAAACTGATCTCTGAACTGTTGACGGTCGACCGTGGTGGTCGATTGTACTGTATCACGGTCGACCGTGGCGGTCGACCGCACTTTTCCAGATTTTGACAGATGCTAGAATTTTGTATACCTAACTTTGTAAAATCAATTAAAAATAGTAAATCAACTCCAAAAATCATGAAATTTTGAGGGAATGTTCTAGACATGTAGATAAATATGTTAGAGAAAGAATTTTTGAAATATCGCTTCCCAGTTGAGAGAAATTAATATTTGAACCCAAATATATAGTTTCTAAAAAAACTGCTAAAAACTCGGTTTTGTACATTCAATTAAAAATAACAAAACAACTCCAAAATTAGTAAAACTTGGGAAAATGTTTATATATATGAGTATAAGCATGTAAACGAAGAAATTTTTCAAATCGTATTTCCCAATTATGAAAACGTATCTGTTTTACAAAAACATGCATGAACATGTGCACGAATATGAGCTTATTAAAAACTTGATTTTGTAAATTCAAATAATCATAAAAAAATAATTTCAAAATTGATAAAACTTTGGGAAACATGAAAACATTAAATTTAACATGTTAGAAAAAGAATTTCTCAAACTGAATTTCCTATTTGTGAAAACTCATGTATTTTGCAAGTGTGTCCAAAACATATAAATGTGATATACATAAAATTTGATGTTTTGACATAAACAATATTTTGAAACCCTATGAAATAATTTTATAGACTTAATGAAATATGTATACAATGATTGTTAAGTCCATAAACCAAAACTTGTGTATATATATAATTATATATATGAAAACCAAATATGTGTGTGTATATATGATTGAGCTTAAAGTACTAACACACATAATATAAAACTTAAACTAAATATACCCAAGCTTGATTGATCTTCGATGTAGCTCAATTTGGTACACTTGCGGATGAAGCTAGAACTTGGATCTTCAATTTGAATTGCATAAGCTTCACTCCATAATTCCGCCAACCTCCATTGGATTTGATCGTTGAAGCGCAATCCATCCAACCTCCAATACGTTGTTTGTCTACAATAAATAGAAATACACAAACACTGGATAAATAACATTAGAAGTAAATTGTTTGTAAATCATCATCAAAACAAGAAGACCAACAACATGCATACATTCTTAATAATAACATAACACTCCTATTAATTGTCCACTAATATTAACTTCTATTTTTTGTAACCCCTCCACTTAAAACGCACATATGACAAACTAATAATATACGCTTCACATTTGACTGTTACGAAATCCAAAGAGCCTGCTTTTTTTAATTTATCATAATAGCCCTTACTTGCAACCTATATAAATTCACTCATTTGATGATTTAGATTTACACTCACCTCTTACAATCCTAACAACATCAAATACTCACCCCATGGCTTTACTATGATATTACTTGGATGATACAAGCTCGTCAGTGACAACATTATCCCTTCAAAAGAGATAACGACAAAGGGGGGGGGGGGTGAAGACGATTGAAGTTGTGCTGAGAAAGTACTGAGATTTACTCGAATTATACTTTATACTGATATGATTGTTAGACTGACGGCTATATGCGGATTGAGGATACGATTGATACAAGGAAATGTGGAGAATTCGAATTGAGGCTAAAGTTTGAGGTCTAATTTGCGGGGTTTTTAATAAACTTTTTTCTATTTCTATAATTATTAATATTATGTACTTAATTGTGATTTGAGAGAAATATTGTATTATCCATGAACTTAGTAGATAGATTTTTTGTAGCATGTTACTAATTATATGATAATAGAAGAGAGAGAAGGTGAAAGTGAGAATTTTATTTTGTTATAATGGATTAGCAAAAATAAAGATAATTAATATTAAATGGAATAGCATGACACACTTAGGGGCTGTTTGGTTCGTTTTTTAACTCGGTGGAAAAGTTTTACACCGCCTTCACATCAGATTTTTCGTGGCCACGTAGGATATAAGCTTTCCGTCGGTTGTTTTCCCATCTTTGGTTCGCTAGAGTTGAAGAAGGAAAACTCGATGAAAATCGTCGCCACATCAGATTTTTTTCTCTCCCCCAGTTCCTTCCTCAACCTCGTGAAATCGACGAAAACTGCAGCCACGTCAGTTTTTTGCCATATAAACAAAAGCTTTTCCTTTTTTCCATGCGAACCAAACACAAGAAAAATAAATACATTGGTTTCCCACCATTTTTTTGTGCGAACCAAAGCGAAACAATCTATTTATTGGAAAAGTTTAGAAAACTCAAAACTTGTGTTTTTGTACATGGAAATGCATTTCCCTATATCTAGAAAACGAACCAAACAGCCCCTTAACATAAAAGTAAAGAACAAACTAGGAAGTTTTGCCTTTTGGGTAATTTTTTTTATATAATAAGTATATTATAACCTCCCTAATGTTAAAACTATATTCTAAATTTACACATAAAACTACCAGTAGTTATTAAATGCCATTCATTATCTTAAATTATAAAGTAAATAGAACTATGTCTTTTAAGATTAAAAAAATTATATCTTTTGGGTATTCCATGATTTGCCAATGTTCACAAAATAACCCTAAATTTTTTCACAAATAACCATGGATCTTTATAATTTTCACAAAGACCATTGAAATTTCATATATTTATAAAAAAATACTAAAACTTCATAAATTTTTACAAATAAACCCTTATATAGTTCAAAACTTAAATCTTAAGAAGATTGAAAGAAGTATATGATCTAAATTGTAAGAAAATTACAAATAAGTCCTCAAAGATTGTTATAATTACATTCAAAATGAAACTCTTCCATTAATTAAATAATGAAGTGTGTAAAGTATTAGAACATAAAACAAAAATGTCCACGTGCAACGCACGTGCACTATACTAGTAGCACTTAAATGTCTCATAGCCTCACTTGTTTTTCGTAGCATTTATTTACTCTTAGTTGTTTAAAATTGACTTGTTAGTACCCTCAATCATAAAAACGTGAACATTTTTAACCGAATGTTCCTATATGATACTCACAGACTAATTATATCGCTTTTAAGTATTAATATTTGTTAAATTTACTAATATTTGTTAAATTTTACTATTAAACCTACCAAAGTACTTTTTTAAACTTATCTTAATTCTACTTTAAATTACAGTTAGAGATCAGTTTAGCTATATATTTCACAAATATTAAAGGTTAGAAAACTCTACAAATAGTCTATAACTATCATAGAGGAACATTCTGAGTGAAAATTTCATGTTCACAAATAGTCTATTACTATCATAGAGGGTACTTAAGTACTGAGCGAGTGAAACTATAAGGTATCCAAGTGCTATTTACCCTCAAAACCATAGTAATTAAAGGTAGCCTACTTTTATCAATGCGGGTGGGGGGTTATATGTTGCTCACTCTAAGTAAAATAGTTGAAGGATCGGTCACTCGCTGCGTTTTTCTTATTTTGCTATGCTATCTCAAGTTTTGATGTGTTACAATCGAAATTTAAATTGGTAAGCACCTCACTTCTGTTAGATGAAAAGGCCTGAAGGGGAACCTAATATGCGACTCCACCTACTCCGTACAAAACACAATTAATCGGTAAACGCAGCGAAAGTAGGTGAACGGCACTCCGCATATTCAAGTCCAATTAAGCTAAAATATAACGGATCACAAAGTTTGTTTCAGCAGATGAACTGGACTTTCGCCAAGGCAAAGGCTCGTTCAACGCGCTCTCCAGCGAGAGCTGTTAAAGGCTGCTTGACTCCTTTTTCGGCCCCTTTTCACTGTTTACAGTAAGTTGAGAGCTGGCAAGCCAGTGCGACTCCGTTACAAAAAATTACAGTTACGTCGAAACAACAGCTGCTTAGGCTGCGACAACTTATCACAGCCTATCCTGTGCATAAATTTCTCCAAAATTTCAGGAATAGAACATGAAGTAGGACAAACATTGTAGACAACAGAAATAGCGCCAAGCAACAAACAAGAGGCTATTGCAAGTTATTTACAGCTGAAGGGTAGAGTCCCTGAAGAAATACTAATATGTTCCTCGATAAACAACAAGAGCGTATATTCAGTGACATCTTAGCCTACCATGGTAAATTGAATAGATTGATTCCGAATGACTATGATATACTCAGACATAACAGATGGATATATGCCCATGAGTACAGGATATAACAAAGCCTTATCCAAGAGAAAGATCCTCAGCTTCTCGAGATGATGCCAACCGATCGGGACATTGAATCTGATCACTCCTCTCTCGTGGAAGGATCCATTCCAGTCAACGGGCTATCAGCGAAATACTCAGGATGCTTTAAGTTCACTCCGTACTGCACAAGGATGAAGAAGAAAGAACCAGCATCAGTTTACTTTTTACGTCAATATCCAAATAAATTCATAAACAACAGATATGTTTGGCTCAGTTGGCAGGATTTTTCAAGTGAAGTCTCAGACTCATTCAAATTTAATGATGATCATGTAAGTCAAATACATAATTCAGTTAAGTTGACCTAAATAGTTTGAATTGCCTAGAAATAAGTTGACCTAAATAGTTTGAATTGCCTAGAAACCGAAAATCATCTATTTTAAAAACCATAACTACAATTGTCAAATAATTATTAAGAACCATCCAGTATGAAGTGGTATTCATCATAGAAGATTAAAAACATAGGAAAACATTACCTTCCTTTTTCCTCACTTCAAGAGCCAAATTTTATCATGCATTAAGGTGAGCAAATCTATGTAGAATATACAGCCTTGAAAAGTAAATGACCATTTGTGTTTTCAATTACCTCACGTAGAGCCTTAGAAAGATCATCCATTGTCAAAACAAGACGCTTCTCCTGCAGAATTATGAACTCAGTCTTTACATGTACATAATGACAAAGATCATTTTGTCAGAATATAGAAAAATTACTACCTTTGGCTGCTTGCTCTTATCCTTGACTGGTGCAGCGGTCCTTGCCTTGCAATGCCTTAAAACGAAATAAAATAGAGAGAAAGGTCATTAGCAGAATTACCAGATTTTGATATTTAACTCCCGACTTCTGTGAAATAGCAGGTCGTCGATCGAGGCAATAGCCTTCTGAAAATAAAGTTTTACTGGGAAACCTCCCTTTTTACCTATTCACCCATCCCAATCAACCTCCAACAAAGTGCATGTACAGACACAGACAGTGACAGTTAACAGGCAATGAAGGTGCAACGGGAGTGTCCTAACCTCCTAGGTGCTTGTTATAAAGCTTTGCACGAGAATAGCAGTTTTTATAATAAAAAAATAATAGCAAAGTTAAACCCCTGAAATGTGATATGGATAAGCTGATATGGATAAACTAATAATTAAAATTACTTGGTTTCTCTTTCATCTTGAAATGGGAAAATCAGAGATTACTATAAAGGCAAGCAAATAAGCTGAACCAACTCAAAAGCAGATGCAGAATGAGATATGCGACTGGTCATTATTTTTAAAAATTAATAGCTCACCCAACTGGCTCGCAAAGTCCCTAGTGGAGGTAAAGATGTATATCACTAATCTATGTTATTTCACACAAGTAACTCTGGGAATAAACAACATAGTTCGAACATCAGATATTAATAACAATTGCTTGTATAGAAAGATGCAAGAGGAAAAAAATTAAACATGTACTTTTAATATTTTCAACAGGAAATAATAGTAAAACCAGGAGTTAATGAGGTCAAACATACTGGAGAGCATCACTTGCAACTTCTGAAATGAACTTCTGAGCAGCTACAGCTACGAGCCTTGTTCTGCCATAAGTCAGAACATATAATAATTATGATTGCAGCTCACAAAAGGTTATGACCAAACTTGAAACAAATCCATATGCATAATCGACAACAAGGTACGCCATAATGGTTACATGGTAACAACTATACACTATTCTAAACAATGAATTCCAACAATACAAGGGAACGCACGACCATCAACTTTCAGGTTTGCTAGTATGAAAGCAGGGGGGAGAGGCGGCGGAGCTATATAGAGGCAAAAGGGTCCACGACCCCCTTTGAAAAAATTGGAACTATAGAGTTAACATTCGGGGTAATTTGATATAATTAAATTTTAGAGGATAAAATGCAAAAATCTATCTCTAAATGATGCAGAACTAAACTTCAAAAAACTTGGGGTTGAATTTGTATTTAATCTTAGAAAGCAATCAATGGTTTACTTATTACTTTCTTAGGATTCTTATTGCAACTAAGACAGGAAAAAGATGGTGAATAGCACCATATCGTGTTTGCTGTTTTGGGAAAATATTTAGATAAGTTTTATCTTTAAGTGGTGAGAAAAGGAGAGGATTCACGTGAGGGGTAAACAGCTGAGAGGTTGGAATAAAGGCTTACATATGAGATATTTTTCTATTTATTTTCCTTGGATGTGGACATGGCTACATTTCAATTTAGGGTAACAACAATACAAACAGAAAATAACGACCTTACATCTTGGTTGAAGGGTGGCTGATAGTGCTTAGATGAATTGAATGGTTAGAATCTAAGATAAAAAGAATAAATAAATAAAACTAAGATAAAAGAACAAAAATCATAGATTAGTTAGACCGGATACACTCAAAAACATTTACCTTGAAAATAATGATTTCACATCTTCTCAAATCACATCATCACCACAATAGAAAATCTCATGCTAAATTTCTCAGCTTTATTCATAAATCTTCCTCATAGTTTCTAATTACAATGAAAAAGCATAACTCATATGTATATATGGTTAAAACTTATCTCTAATAAAATTCAAAATGGAAATAAACATCTAATAATACTGTGATTCAAAATAAAAATAACTCTGTCCTAGAACTAAATCTAAATTAAACAATTAAACTTTAAAAATTATATCTAACTAATAGATAAACTCAAATCTAAATTCTAAGAAGCAAAAAATTTAAATCTCTAATTAACAACTCTGTCTATTATTATTCTAAACACTACATTATAATTTAATATGATTTTGGTTTGTTATACAACTATTTTAGATACTAGTCAGTTGTGTTTTCTTATCATGTTTAATTATAAGTTATTTTGGACCCCCTTCCCAAAATTCTTGGCTCTGCCACTGTATGAAAGTATGAAACAAGCCTCTCAGATCTTGTTTAGAAACAAAGAAGCCCACCAAACTTATAACATTTGGACATGATGCAGCTTTGGCTTGTGACAGTTACTATAGTTAGCTTTTAATGCAAAAGCATGCATGATTGGTCATATTAATACCTTTAACAACCGACGTGGTATCATAGTATATTATAGTTCCCATGCTAGGCCACTAAGCTTAATAAATTAAGCATTTCTCTTTTCTTGCTAAAGTATGCACCACACTTCACAAGTTCACCTAATGACTAATATGGGTACATTTCTAAAATTAAATAGGTGAGAATGTATATGCTACTATTTTTTTTCCGTAGAAACACATTTCAATTGATACATTACCTAAGAGGGGTAGTATGCTATATTACCGAAGTGAATAAGAAAAAAACTAAACTAATTTGATAATTGATAGATAATCAACTCTCTTCTGGTTATGAAAGAGAAAATAAATGGTATACAGAAAAGAAGAAGAAAGAAGTATCATTTGTGATATTATTTTGTTTCCACCACACTGAACTTAGCATTGTTACTACCACCTGTCTTCTTAATTCTTTTGTCCCTTTCTCCTCTCACTTTCTTCTTCATATTATCTTTTTATTATTTCGCTTCTAATTCTCTTTCCTATAGGGAAAGGGAGAGCCCCAATTGGTACAAAAAAACCCCAACCCACAACCCACAAGGGTTATCCTGCGCCTGGAAGAAGAAGTAGGAAAAGGAAAAAATATAGTGATAGTTTTATTCTCCGTCGCCATAAATAGGAATATTGAAAATCTCATTTTTTTGAATTTGAAATAATGTGATGGAAGAAGAAGTAGGAAAAGGAAAAAACATAGTGATAGTTTTATTCTTCCTTTTCTTGCTTCTATTTCCCATCAGTTCCTGTCTAGTTTTCCATTATTCTTCACGTCCATTGTCCCCACCCTTTTCTCGATAACAACACTTTCATATATTTCCTATAGCTGTTGACTGTTCTAAACCATCATTTTAATAATATCTACAACCATCAACTTCTTCTAATCCTTTATCTATTTCAAATCTACTACGCCAAATCATTAGCAGAATACACCTAAATTTTCTATCATTTAATCAAGTAACAACAATCACAGTACAAATCCATATTAAACCTCACTCTTGACGCGTCAATAATGCTTCTATCCACCAAGACAAAACAAACGAATCCCTTTCTCCAGTAAAACTTCCCTAAAATTCTCCAAGTAAACCAAGTCTAATGCTCTAACAATCATCCATAACATACACAATTAGCCTTTTCTTTACCAATCAAAGAGTGTTCATTCTACAACATGCTGGCTTGCCTAGTCCCCTTTCATCTCTAACATCAAGTTGACAAGAAATGCATGTTTTCCTATTATCAGTGCAATTTCATTTCCCCTACATGAGCTACGGTTACTCCCTAGGAGAACACCACTACTTCCAATAATTGCAAATTTCCAACAAAAATCGCCGCCACTGGTTTCTATACGAAGTTAGGATCAGAAATCAAAACCCTAAAAATGAAACCGAAAGAATCACGGTACCTACAATCTTAGATCGGGGCACTGGAATCCGCTCTTCGCCAAGTAATGCTCCACTAATTCATCCGGAATCTGCACCAAACCGTAAACCCTAAAATCGCAAAGAAAAGCAAAATTGCTTTTTTTTAAAAAAGGGAGAAAATGAACGGAAAGTTGTACGGTCGGAGTGTAGTCCATTAGAGAAGAGAGGAACTCGGTGAGTGCTGCCTCATCATCGTGCCTCGGTTCGCTCGATGACGATGAATTCATCCTCCGCCTCCTCCTCCCTTTGGGCCACTTTTGCTCATAAAGGATCTGGATTTTAGATCGGGTTGAGTCCGTATAGTTAGAATCCGATCCAACAGGTCGACGATCAGGAGTTAATGAGCGGGCCGTTCGTATTGGGCTACAGGCCATTTAATGCTCTTTATAATTTTAAAAAAAAACTGAACTTTGGACAATAATCAGATAACCTCACATAACTTTCAATATATCAGACAAATCCCCTTAAGCTTAAGCCATAAATTTCAGTGGAATAAAATCCCCAGCGTAGTTTTTCTCACTCGGGTGCATACTTGCGGATAATGTTCTCCAGGGGTTTTCCTTAAAAATAAAATCTTCAAATTGTAGGAGGCTTTTTGAAGAAGGATTTTCTGATCTTCTACAATTTATGGGAGTATAACTGATAACAGTCCAAAGTTAGAGGGGGTCCTCTGATATTTAACATTTTGAGTTTATCAGACCAAATTAAGGATTGTATGGCTCTTGCAATTGCGGCTGTAATGCTTGTGTCACATTTATTACATAGACTCACGGTTATAGTTTCTTTGCAAATTAGGGGTTTCCTTAGCTGAATATGGTTTCGATCGAGTTGAAATTGTGATGACGATATGGATACGTACGATTAATCTATGATCATAACTCTTTTGAAGTAACATCGTACTAAATCATTCAATAATTATTGGAATTGTAAAAAACCCCAATAATTTTCGCGTTTTGCAGCGTTAGGTTACTATTAGTCTTGGTGGCACATTCAAATAATAAATACGAACTAATGCTTTCATAGTGGTTACACGCTAATTAAACGTGGAAACTCATTGAAAGTTTTCTGCAATTCTAAATAGTTGTTGGGAGAGTAGTGTGAGTTTAGAAGCTGTTGGGTTTTTGCTGCAAAATGTTGGAAGTTCTTGGGAGTTCAGCGTAATTTTTAAAAGGATAAATTTTTGAAATAGGCCCGTTTGGGCCATTTGTCAATTTATTTCTCAAAATCGACCCGTTGAATCTACTTATAAAAATCAACCTAGTTTCGGTAATGCCGACATAATCGGCTAAAATGGGTTCGATTAAAAAAATAATAAAGTTTACTAATCAGATGGGGTTCACAACCTCGTATAATTAGGGAAAACCAAATTAAGTTCTTAAATATAAATGGATTTTCAAGAAACCGTGTATAAAAAAGAGAACAAAACATGATATAATTCAAAATAGTCGGGATTGTCAACCACTTTTATTTTGAACGTAGTTAAAAAATAGAAGAGGTTCATAACTCCAACTATTGTGATCTTTGTTCAAGATAGACGGTGATCTTTGTTCAAGATAGACGGTTTCACCGAGCTCGTCCATGTTTATGATCATCTAAATAGACGGGCCTAACCAAACTTGACTAATTAGAAAACATTATTATTATTGTTATTTTTAATGGACCTGGTTTCAACCAGGTGGAATTTTACAAATTTGACTGAAGTGAGTCGAATTTTGAGAACAAATTGCAAAATTGGTCTAGTTAAAAAATTTGTCCGTTTCAAAAATAAGGTGTAATGGCCCCCGTCTTTTATTACTATGTTTGGGTCCTAGTCTCGCTGTATAAACCTCATTGCACGTGGGCTTTAAATATCATTTCTTTTTTTGGTGCGTTTAAATATCATTTCTTTCCTACTTAAAAAATTGCATCTTGTCCTGTGTCTGTGAGTCTCGTATTCAGTCAATAATACTGAGCAATCACCAACCAGAGCTCAATCCAAGCCAAATATTCTCTGATTTCTTTCTGATTAGAGAGAGATAGCATGGCCAAATTATTGCCACCAAACGGTAAACACCTTTCCCCTGCTTGTATTTTACATTTCTTGGTTGATCTGCTTGATGCATGTTTTTCTTGATTGTTGTGACTTTTGATTCATGGGTAAATTTGGGTGAATTTGAAATTTTGGTTGAGGGGTGAAACCCTGTGATGTACCAAGATTTGAGAATCCCGTCTTTGGCGAGTTGAATCGAGGGTTATTGATCAGGTTATATGTAGAGCTAGACGTGAACTCATTTTTACATTTTACATGTAAAACTAACAGCAACTTGAGCGTGTGATAAGTTTTGAATAATCAAAATAAATGAAGGTTTTGGGGGGCGGTGATAATCATCTGAATAAGCCCAACTTTTGCTAATATGGTGCCTTTGTAGGATCTGATCTAATCACAATAAAACACTAGGAGGGTTGAGTAGTGTTCTTTTAAAAATTAATACAAAGAAGATTATAATTTGTAAAGAAATAGCACAATCACAGAAAATAACAATCACAAACACAGAATTTTATACTGATTCCACCTCCCATGTGTACATCCAGTCCCCAAGCAAATCCTGCTTGAGAGTTCAACTATGATTTTGAAAAAACTTACAAAATCAAAACATCAAACCTGACCAATTTGCAAGTCCCTGCAAATTGCACCCAATCTCTTCACCAAGAGATTACACCTCTCACACCTGAGAGAACACTTGTCTTGATACAACTTGATTCCTATAAGCCTTGATAGTATTGTGATGTGTAACAGTGGTTAGGAACGTTTTTAATCTCTGAAAAATTGCCTAACTTGAGTGTATATTGAATGAGGATCAAAGGCGAAATCAGGAAATGATTTATCTCAACACTTAGTGAAAATCTGGAATTTTTTTTAAAGATGCACAAAACTTGAATCTTGTATCTAGGAATTCGTTACCCAAAATTCTGAACATGTATCATATTTATAGCCTTGAAAAGATAGGTTTTCAAACCTTAAAAACGTACACAAAACAGCTATAAACTGTCATTAATTTGAATTTTAAAATGTCAGAAAACTATCTTAGTAGTCAACTAATTGTTGTTGTAGTCGACTACTCTGAGTTCAACAAACTTCAGAAAACTCAGAATTTTCCTTAGTTGTCGACTATTATTGTTATTAGTCGACTACTCTGTAAAACAAAAAGTCTGGAATTCAAAATTCGAAGTTGAGTAGTCGACTATAATCCTTAGTAGTCAACTACTCTGTATTTTTACAGAAATTTATATTTTGATCTAAGACTTCAGTAGTCGACTATTAATCTAATTAGTCGACTACTAAGGGTTGAAAATGTCATGTATGAAATATTTTTAGACTCAATGATTAACTAAATACTCTAATGGTTAACATAGGGGATTTCTATTGTTAACCAACACACTAAGCCTGTGTTAGTATGTTCTACTCTCTATGTGTGTGTATGTGTGAGTGATCAAGGCTTGTACAAAAATTCTAAGTAAAGAAAATATAAAAAATTACATTGATATATATGCTCTTCATCTTCTTTACTTCTTGATACCTTGAACTCATCTTGTACTTTGTTCATGTTGATAACTACATTGAAATGTTAGTACATACACATAATAATTCACATTATGAATAAATTATTATCATTAAAATTTTATCATGAGGACATGATATCCAACATTCTCCCTCTTTTTGATGATGACAAACAATTTATGCATATGTAAGTATATTTAAAAAAATAAACATTAATAAACAAATATACTTACCCCCCTGCATAAAAGCATATTAGAGTTTACAATTCATATTTTTGAGTCTATATAACATAATTCAGATACCATTCTCTCCATTTGTCATTAACAAAAAGAAATACACATCTATTCTAAGCATGTCATAATTTCCTCTTCATGAGCTAACACTTCAAAAAGATCTTCCAAATTGTGAACATAGTCTAAGCATGTCATAATTTCCTCTTCATGAGCTAACACTTCAAAAAGATCTTCCAAATTGTGAACATAGTCCATCACTTCACCCATCTCAAAAAGATCTTCCAAATTGTGAACATAGTCCATCACTTCACCCATCCATATGGGTAGGCAAAGACTTACCATAAATATTAAAATTTCGACAATTTCCATCTTCACAATCTGTTTATAATAAAAGTATCTCATGAACACAAAATATAAAATATACACCTAGTAATCATGATTAAAAGAAGCACAAATTCATACATAGTCTTAAGCAACATAAACATAGTAGCAACATACGACATATACGACATATTACACAAGTCTTAAAGCAAATAACTAACACAATTTTTGACACATAAACTTAAACAAACCAAGTTAACACATAGTTTTTAATACAAACATGAAACTAAGCCAAACACTACATGATGCATGTATGGTCCTCTAACATGAAGGTCCTCGAGGAGGTGGATGTCTTTGGAAAAATGCATTGAGCTTCATATCCAAGTTATTAAATTTCTTAATTAACTCCTCCTGATTACTGATGATATAATTGTTCTGGAAATAAAGATCTCGCTGACCAGTCTCTAACTCAAGGATGCGTGCAGACAATGTGTTATATTGCACATCCGAGAAGCAAGAAGGTTCTGATCGCATTTGAGGTGGTTGTTGGCTAGAAGAAGGGCCTTCATGACTTGAGGATTATGGAATATCTTGTGGAATTTGTTCTTGAGGAGGTTTGGGCTCATCTTGGTGATGTTGATCATGAAGTTCAAATTAGTTAACTTCATCCTAGTTAGGGCATTAGAGTCAAAGAACTCAATGGAACGAACGACAGAATTTTCTGACTCAAGATCAACTTGAAATTTATCAAAGACCTTTGTTAAAAAGCATCATAAGAAAGAAATCCTTTTGGTATAATCAAGAGATTGTCATAATAAACTTCAACCCAATTAACTTGGATATTCTCCATTATAGCATATAAGGCTTTTGCTAAATCTAGGGAAAAAAACTGCCCGTTTTTGGAAACATATTATAAGCTAAGATTCGAACAATGAAACGAGGAATTGGACGAAGTTTATTTGAATTATTCAAAGGTTTACCATAACCCGGAAGAAAAATACGATTGGATAGCAAATTTGCATCATTCATTTTGATTGATCTAAGAGATACACCTTTGAAGGGAATGCTAATTTTTTTTTACAATTGACTTAGAAGTCAATTCAATTTCTTTCCCTTTCACAATGTAGTTAATTTTTCAGTTCCGCTAACAGTTCCTACACGAGTGATATTTGTGAAGAACAGTTGAACTAAAAAAGGATAAGTGGTTTTTTATTTTCAGATGAGAATAATTCAAGCAATCCCACATTTTTAAAGTATTAACTAAAGTTCCAAGGGATGAAATCATCAAATTTCACAAAACGTCCTGGAAGAATTTCAAATGTAGATATATTGTTAAATTCTTCAAGTAAATCAGGATTTTTTAAATAGACAATGATTTCATCATTAACACTTGTATGAACTTGCTTAGCCTTCTTTGCTCTAGACATGATAATTCAGAAAAGAACAAGAACTAGTAAAGATCAAGTTGAAGAACTTACCAAACTGATGATAACCCTAGAAATACACGTAGTAGTCGACCAATAATGGTTGTAGTCGACTACAAGAACTAAAATACTGAAGAAAACAAAGAACTTGATGGAAATTTTTGGAGAAAATGAAAGATTGATGATGCCCTAACCTGGATTCGGTGAGTTATGAAGTGGGGAAGAAGAGGGATCGGTTTATGGAGTGTGAGAGAGTGGGTAGTTTAGGATTTAGGGTAGTTTTTGTAGCTTAAAAAATATATGGTCAAAATTAGATCAAAAAATAAAATGAAAGGTTGAGATTTAATCTTAATGAAATTTGATATATGGTCTTGATTCATCTGGTAAAAGATGAATGGTTGAGATCAAAACAACTCAAGTTTATCGGGTATTGGATTTTGGGTTTGGTAAATAAAAGATCCAATATGTCAAAACTAAGGTTAAATGAAAATGCAGGTTTTGTAGTCGACTAATAGAGAAATTAGTCGACTATACTATAAACGATAGAATTTTTTTTCTGTTTTTGGTTCTAAGTAGTTGACTACTTTTCTTATTAGTCGACTACTAAAACATTTACAGTGTTGTATATATGCAATGTTTGTGCATGTAGTCGACTACTAGTGAGATTAGTCGACTATAAAGGCTGAATATGTATATGTAATGATTTTAAAACTTAATTTAAATCTTCTAAAGAACATATACCTAATTCTCTTCTTAATTTAACATATATATATATATATATATATATATATATATATATATATATAGAAATATATATATATGAGATTAATGGTATCCTTGTCATAGGAGGTGATTTCTCCTATGACGCCTCTAAAATCACATGATTGAGCGAAATTGTGGATGATCCGCTCATTGAACTTGATCTACATATTTCTAAACCCCAACACATCAAGTTTGGGTGAACCCGTCGTCTTACGACCCATCATCACTCGTATCAATTTTAACGGTTTTGAATGAATATAGGAATTTCACATGCTCGAGGAGAGTCCAAACGACACCGGATTCACCCCAAACTTGGTGTGTTGGGGTTTTAGAATATGTAGATCAAGTTCAACGGAACGGATCATCCATAATGTCGCTCAATCATGTGATTTTAGAGGTGTCAAGGAGGAAATCCCCTCCTATGACAAGGATACCCATTAATCTCTCTCTCTCTCTCTCTCTATATATATATATATATATATATATATATATATATATATATTATAAAGATTTTGTTAATATATCAGTAATTTGTTTATTGGTTGAAATAAAATCTAAAGAAACAACACCTTTTAGCACATTATCACGAAAAAATGATATCTTATGTCAATATGTTTTGTACGTGAATGTTGAATAGGATTTTTAGATAAATTAATAACACTAGTATTGTCAAATATTATGGATGATGTGGGACAAATTAAACCATAATCAAATAATGTTTGTTTCATCCATAAAACTTGAGCACATGCAAGACTAACAGTAATATA